GACATGTTGTCAGGAGAGACCAGTCCCTGGAGAAGGCCATCATGTTTGCTAAAGTGGAGGGGCAGCAAAAAATAAGAAGGCTCTGGATGAGATGGAGTGACACAGAGGCTGTGTCACTGTGAGGATGGTGCAGGACCGGGCAGGGTTTCCTTCTGTTGTACATAGAGTTGCTAAGGGTTCGAGCTGACTTGAGGGCACCTAACAACAAAAACACGTACAACTGATCCTGAGACTGAGGGTTGAAACAATGAAATGGGGAAAGAGATGGTCTCCTTAACAAATGATGCTGGCAAAATAAGATATCCATTTGTAGAAGAATAAAACAGGAACCATATCTCCCACTATATTATATATCAAACTCAAGATGGATCAAAGACCTAAATGCAGAACCTAGAGAATTACCAAGATCATTAATGAACAATTAGGGGCAAACTTAGGAGTCCTAATACATGGCATAAATATACTAAACCAACATATTGAAAAACATACAAACATCAGAAGACAAACTAGATGACTGGGACCTCCTAAAAATTTAGACATTTACATACATCAAATGATTATATAAAAAATAAAAGGAGAACCCACAGACTGGGATGATTTTTTTTTGGCAATGATATACCAGACAAAGGACCAATCTCTAAAATTTATAGAAAACTTCATCTACGTTACCAAAGCAGACATTCAGGAGGCCAACAAATATATCAAGGCATGCTTGGGATTACAAGTTGTTCAAGACATGCAAATCAAAACAACAATATATCACCACACTCAAGCATTAATAGCAAAAACCTGAGCTAACAATAAATGCTAATGAGGGTGTAGAGAGAGAATGGATGATTTCCACAGGTAAGAGGGGCAGGAAAGGAGGGGAAGTCATGGGCTAGAGGGGAGACAAGTGTTAGTTTGGGTGAAGGAAAAGGCAATATACAATAAGAGGGAAATTGGAAAAGAATTATGGAGGCAGGGGAAGACAGTGGGAGGTCTATAAGAGACAAAAGCAACAGAGGCAAATACTATTATGTACAAAATTCTGAAACGGGGGATCTATGAGTAGCTGCTTGAATAACAAAACAAGTGAAAAGGGGAGAATAGGAGTACACCTTTGGGTATACATATATATAGGGTTGACATAGGTTGATATTTGTATATATATAATTTACTTTTGCTGCAAACCTATCTATGTATGTGATGGAGTATACAAGGGACAAAGTTATGAAACTGTCTTAGATGTAACCAAACACCTGGCGAGAGCTAGTCCCTGAGCCTGGGGGATCAGGACCATGTTCGAAGGCTAACAGGCATAACATAATTCACAAAGACAATGTTCTACAATCTAATTTGGCGAGTAGTTACTGGCGTGTCTAGAGCATGTGAGCAGTCATCTAAGGTGAAATTATTGGCTTCTCCCCATCTAGAGGAAATAAGAAATGATTAAAATATGGAATCAATTAGTCCAATGGCCTAATCCACCACACAAGCCTCAGTATCCACAACCCTGAGACCAGAAGAACAAGATAGTGCCCAGCTACCATTACCAATGACTCTGGAACATTTCACATTTGAAGGTCCAGGAATGAGTGGTAGAAAAATGTGGAAGAGAACTCAAGGTCACAAAAGAGACCAAGACTGTTAGATAGAAACTAGTGGGATCCCTGAGACTATGGCTCTTACCCTTCAGGTCTGGAGCTGAATTCACCTCTGTGTTCAAATAATCTGCTGTAAGCTCCAAAGGACAGCATTTACCCAAGGACAAAGTTCAGAGGGCTAGGAAAGGAGGAGGAATGGAAATTGGAAATATGGGGAAGGAGTGGGGAAAGCAATTGTTTACTGAGGGATTGCAATAGATGAGTTGAATCAGAATGTGTATGCATTGCTGAATATAACTATGATCTGCTGTATAAACCTTCACTTAATTCACAATGAAATATAAAAGTACTGCTACAGGATCATGGCAATGTTTATTAAACAGAAGTTTCAAAGTATAAAGCTGTTGCTTCTTGGCATATCTTCCACCTAGGTCTATAGACTTCTGAGGGTGGTGTTTCCATCTCTCTAGCCCTTTCTCCAAAAAATTGTGTTCTTGGATCCACAGCATATCAGTTTTGACATCAGGGAGGACTCAAACTGTGTTATTTTTCAGTGTTCTGTGAGCGTTGGGGAATAAGCAAGGGTGTAGGGTTAATTGTGTTGATGGGGGAATAGTTCTTGTTATCCTTGAAGGATGTGCAGGTGCACTGTCATGATGGAAAAAAAAATTCCTTGGCCCAACTTTCCTGGTCTTTTTCTCACCGCCAGTGTCATTTCCAACTTTCTGGAAACTTCTTAGTAAGTCCCCATGGTCATCCTGAGCCCATTGAGAAAATCTACCAAGAGTATTCATTTGGAATTCCAATAACTAGTCACCATAACCTTCTGAGCCTTGAATTTATCTGGCCCAGGCAGATCCCCTCAGAAGTCACTGTTTTGATTGGATCTCTGTCTTGAAGGCATTCTAATGCAATTTCTCTGCGGCCATCCATTGATCACAGAGACATGCTTGCACACAGTTTGTTTGGAATGAGCCAGTGCACGTATGAACTGCAACCCTAGGAGCCAGGCTTCTTAACTTACCTTCAGATAGATGTTTAGTCAAATCGCAGTCTGTTGCATCGGGGTTTTCAGTTTACACAGAAAAGTGATCCTCATGAAGGCACCCTGAGATGAAGCCTGGCTGGTTAAATGGTAAGACAGCCCAAGGCCTCAGACGAAGAGGGCGGGTATGCAGATTGCTGAGACTACTGCTTGGATTTCTGGCTTCAGAAGACTCAAGGTTTTGTAAAAGTCATCATCTCATTGAATCTTGGGGCACTTTTTTCTTTCTCCTATAAGGAGGATAAAGAGGGGAGTATTTACTCTTTATTAAAAACAGCAACAATAGAAGTTCTCATTGTAGAAAAATTATCCAGTTGATTATAGACATTTCACCAAGATGTGAAAACAACTTGGTTTTATAGCTGATGATCATATTGGCTCACATGGTCATACATCGAATTCCAAGTTATTAGGCTAAAAATGTGGACTTGGCAGAGATGAGAGGTTCTGTCAATTGTTTCAGCTCCCTAAACTGGCTGCGACTGGCACCAGTGGCTGAGTGTAAATAAAAGTTGAAACCAACATTAGTTAACTCTGGCTCTATTCCAAAAACATGCTATTGCAGAGATATGCAAGTTGAAGGTTGTTGTCAGGCCAGGAATCATAACTAGGCCCTCTAACACAATGCCTGGCCCATGATAGTTGCTCAAGGAATATGTGTTGGATAAATAGATGGCACAGGGTTACTTTGGGTTGCTAAGCTCAGAACAGTATTTGCCATTATTTCGGATGTTGGCGTGGGATTTGAACACCCTAGAACAGTTTCTTCTCTTTGCAACTAGTAATATTTCTCTGTTTATGAAGAACACGCATTCTTGTACACTGGCACTGGTTTTGGGGAAAGTGGTACAGATTTCCATTGCATTCCTCAGAAGAGCTGGCAATACCACTCCCTCACGGTGAGTTGCTTCTTCTTTATCAGAAGGTTTTAATTTTGCTGGGTTTTTAGTCCTCCCAGGAGAGAAGAGTACTTCAAGAAAGAGAAAATGAATTAGCCGAGCCTGAGTGAGTTTGGTAGGATTTTTATTGCTCTCAGGGAGGCAGAGGAGTGACTACCTTATCTCCTTTGTGCAGTAGTTTTTTCTTGCACAAGGCTCTGTTTTTCCGCCTTTATGTACCATCATGCCTTGTTCTATAAGTGGGAAGTGTACACAGACTTGTAATTAGG